GTCTAAGCCCAGAAGGCACAGTTCCAGCTGTACCTGTTTAAACTACTCCTGTGGCTGGGACATTTAATTACAGCTAGTCTGCAGTGTGCAGGCTTTGTTCTGCTTTAACAGCCTGGGATCAAAACCTGTGTGACCAGAAGGTGGAGAGAAGGGTGATGGGTTCACGGTGGTGTTACTGCATTGAAAGAAGCACATTAGGACAGGTTCTGCCTAGATGTGGCTGAGGGGTATTCAGACTGTGTTTGCACTTGGTTGCAAGTCATTGGGCACCCCAAGGGCTGAAACCCAGGTAAGTAAAAACCTTTCCTTAGGAAATCTGTTTTTCCAGTTCTTTGAAAATCCACTCAGGTAGCTCCTTCAGAACATTCCAAGCACAGAGCATTAACGAATAACCTGTTAAAATCACCTCCCTCCTGATCGACTACCTGCCAGTAACACTTTATTGCTATAGCTGGGGGTACTGAAACCCAGGAGACGTCCAAGAAGTGTAACCAAGTGCAAATCTTGTGGCCACCCCTTCCCTGTGGCAGGAAGTGTGTAAACACACTCACTGCCCAGCTCACAGCCCCCTCAGGTCATTCCTGATCTTTCCAGGCCAACCTTGTGCCTTGAGCTACAACCACACCGTTCCATTGTAAAAGGGAGCCAGAAGGGACTGCGGGGAGCTCTTTGCAAAGCGATGCCACAGCAGCCAAGCAATTGCTGATGCTAGAGCGGTGCCTGCTGGCCGCTAATCACAAGCACTTTCTACCCTGCCCCACGCCGTTTCTCACCTTTCTCCTTAAGGTTTTATGATTTTTAAGCCAATCCCAATATAATATACTTTGGTATAACTGATGCAGTTTTGATTATGCAACTCCCTGGGAAAGTTGAGATTCTAGGCAGTGTCATACCAGCAATCTCCTTTACATGTCTAACATTGGATGTTAAGATCATAAAGCACCTTAAATCACTGATAGCTTCTGTAAAGTCTGGCATTTCATATACCTTTTACGTACAGAAACATGCTAAAATGCCAATAATGCCACTGTTATGCAACCTGGGTGGAATGGGTGCCAAAACCACCGTCCTTATGATGTGCTGGGAGGGACAAATGAAGCTATGGGTAAAACTGCTCTCATCACAGAGACAGTCTCTTGGGTGCTCACAAAATGATGAATACTGAAACAATGAAATCCCAAAGAAATAATCTTCAGAGATATAATAGAATGTTCTTTTGCCACATTCAGAGATGTATTACAATGTATTATACTGGACTTTGTCCTCAGCCCAAGGATCTGGAGACAACTTAGATATGAACAAAAGAAAATAGGTAATGTACTATGTAGTTCCTGAATTTACAGTATGAAAGAAAATAGAGTTCTATCAGAAGAACTGGATCATGTCTCCCCTGAGCCTAAAGCTCTTACAGTTAACAAAACACACAGAGCCCTGCTCCTAGGACAGGAATTTAAAGTGGGTAAAACTGGTAATGGCAAAGGGATGCATCCATCTTCATGGGTCTTCCAGGGGCTGAAACAGTACAGCAAACTCTCTCTTGGATCCCTGTTTTCTCACTGGTGGCAGGTGGTGGCCATGGGATTGGAACTAGATGATCTCCAGGTCCTTTCCAACCCTAACTATTCTATGATTCCCTGTTAAGCAACCTCAGCTAAAGACTTCCCATTCATCACATTTGTTTGCCATTCTGCCACACTTGAACTGTCAGGCTGACATTTTACATCCTCAGCTAAAACAAGGCATATGTAGTTGGGAGGTGGGCAGGCAGACAAAAACAGTGGTAAGGCTGTTAAATGCCTTTCTGAAGAACTGGTTGGTCTCTGCACTGCTGTTTGAGCTTGCCCATGCTGTACATAAGCCAAAATATTACGTTGAATACATATTTTTGGTAGACACTGGCCAAATGTCTGCATTGGACCAGCAACTGCACAGATTTTAACCATCGTACTGTTTCAGCAGATGGAAGCACCCCTCTCCCCACTTCTGCTCCAGCACAATTCAGTGCAAACTGCTACATCTAGGGAAAACGGAGCCCCAAACAGATTACAACCCAGCACAAACACTGATCTCCTGGCAAATACTCTAGTAACTTAAACTGATTGTTCTCTAAAAGCTCCAGGGCACTAAGAGGCTAATAATCTACTTCTTCCCTCCCCTGTGTAAGGTGGTGCACAATACACAGACGCACATATGTTCATGCATATATGCAGAACATAAACACTTGAACACACATAGAATCTTAGAATGGTTTGGGTTGGAAGGGGCCTTCAGAGCTCATCTAGTCCCACCCCTGCAATGAGCAGGGACATCTCCAACTAGATCAGGTTGTCCAGAACCACATCCAGCCTGGCCTTGAATGTCTCCAGGGGTGGGGCATCCAACACCTCTCTGGGCAACCTGTGCTAGTGTTTTATTTCCAGACATCATTGGTCTTCACCTAACAAACAAGCCAAAGCACCAGCTTGTACAGCTCATTTATAGAAAACTTTTCTCCTGAATGCACTGTTTCTCTCTCCAGCAGAAGGGGAGGACAGGAGCACAGGGGACACCATCTTCTCTGCTGCCTAAACACGTGGAGTTTCACCCAAGCAGAATTCATGCATGGATTGCCATGCTGAAACTGTTTGTGGGCTCTGTGTTTCCCTGTGTGTGCAATGGAACATCTTGCTAGTGGTTTGAAACTGCAGCTGAAGGTGAACAGAGCTCTACCTTAACCACGTGAAGGCCCCGAGACTACAAATGCATGCAGGAACACCAAGTCTTAGTCATGTGTGCTCCTTAATCAGTGAACACATCTGAAAGACTTGGTCGTGATCTCACTGAGTATCAGTTTGCCCATCGGTTAAAAGGCGACTATGTCACCACCTGTCTGAAAGCATAGAAAATGTGTTTGCAAAATTGTCAATTGCTATGATGCTGTATTATAACTAAAAAAGAAATCTGAAAGAAAGAGAATTACTTTAAAGTACATCTCAGATTATGCCTAAAAGAAAATGCCAGGGGGCTATGCAAAGTCAATGCAACCAAATCAAATGAAATGTCCATTTACTGCCAGTGACAGGAATCTGCTGAAAGTACTGTCTATTTTCAGAATGCATTAAGGACAGGGGGAATGACAGAAGATTGTGCAGAAAATCTTGAATTCAGCATTCTCTAATCTTTCAGCTTTTGGGTTTGTCACTGTAATGAACTTCTGCTGTAATTCATTTGGCTTCAGAAATAGAGAACTGAAAAACAACCAGATGATAAATAATTACAAATCTGGAGCCCATTACTAATGATCAGAGTGTTTCAATTCACCATATACTTGTGTGACACCATAATGATTAGAGAAAGCATCTTAAATGAGTTGTCGATATGCTTCAGAGTTGAACCAGAGGGCTCTCATACTTAGTCAGCACTGTCGAGTAAAACCTGTGCTTCAGAGCCATGACAGAGCCAAAGGCAATAGCAACACCACTCAGACACACAAAGCTTCAGGCTGCCACTCTGCCACCGAAACCTTCTCGCCTCCTTTTCAAGCATGGTCTTCCTGTATCAGTCCTCTGGCTTGAGTGACAGACACCCCCACCACTACCACCAGCAAGGACTTTCCTTGACTAGTTTGGTTGAGTTAGTTATTCAGGTTAGCCTAACAGTCACCTAAAACTGAGAATTTGCAACTGGAAGTGAAACCTCTGAATATGTATTTCTCAATCAGAACTGGCAGGGAAATGCTAGTGTCAATGAAAGGCATGGCTCCTTTTTTTGCCAGGACTGCAAGATACAGCCTATTGCAGCAAAAGGCAAGCATTTTAAGAAATGATTCAGAGATAAATTTGTCCTTTGAGCCCTAAAACCCAGTCTGTTTCACAGTACTGTACACAGAATTTCTGCACCTTATTTCCACTTACCTCCAGCTACCATTCATTGCTCAGTCGCCCTCAGTTCCATCTCCTGGTCCAACTCTACACTCTCTCCCTTCTCTTCCCCAGGAACCAAACAGGATCAAAAATGTATACTTCAAGATCACTGAATCCCCCAATGAAAAGAAATGGCAAACAAGCCAAAGCAGATATGATAGAAGAACAAAAGACAGTATAAATGGGAAATAAACTTGAGATTTATAAGGCAAGGAATACATTTTTGTAAGTAGAGAGGCTAGTTTGCCTCTCTAACTGCTAGGAAAAAAAACGACAAGTTTTGGGACTCACAGGCCCACCCTCAGATATCCAACAGAGATAAAGCAGAAGGTGCATTATGCCCAAGTTTTGATCCAAGTTTTATATTTGGGCCATATAAAACTTGACAAAGTAGAAACTTTGAGAATAGGATACACTGATTTCTCCTGTGACTGCACTAGATAAGCCACAGTGGCCCACATGGTGCCCCACGTTCAACTCTACTCACCACCTTTCAAGGAGGAAAGTCCCCTTGAGGTCAACCGTAAGGCAAAGCTCCTCAGAACTGAGTCCATAGAAACATTTTATGCCCTTGTACCTACACCACAGTTCAAACTGAACCCAGAGACAGTGGGAGCACACAAGCTCATCTCGCCCTTTCTGCTTTGGTGTTAGTGAATTAACCTGCTACTGCAGGTTGCAAGCCTGTGTTCCAGCAGCAGCGTCCCACATAGGGTATGCCATCAGCTCCTTGCAGTCTGCCACATGTTATCAGCTGCTGGTTTTAAGGCATAGACATAAGTCAGATCAGGAGATAACCATGCTGTCTGTTGGTGTTCCTGCTGTCCCTGGCTTTTACTGCTCCTGGAAGCCAAGTTCTCACAGCTCTGCCTGTGGAGCCCTGTATGAAGTTTTAGCTCTTGGGCACCAATGAAGTTGCTTTCAACTCACACAACTGCTTTTACACTGTTAATCTGTTAAGAGATTGTTCCCAGCAGTTGCTCAGCCAATGATAATTTGGAACGGTGTAACTTTCCAACCAGCACAGACAGATCCAGGACTGGGTATTTGCAAATGACCAAAAGTTCCCCTGTGCACTTCAGCACACAACAAACCTGCCTTGACACCTGTGGTTTGTGTTTGAAGCCCCAAATCCATAACATCAGTTCTACATCAGCAGTTGAGCTCCGATCTCATTTATTCTGGGTTTAATGAGGAGCAACATTTCCTGCAAGCACTGCTTCTGAAGCTTAAAGACAGTATAAAAAGAGGAGTAAGAAATCAATTGGGGTGTGTCTTGTGACCACAAGTATTCAGCAGCAGCTTCTACTCACTTTGAGTCTCACCATCAGCATGAGATGGGACTGTGGGGTGTAAGAGGGCAGGCTCACTTCTGGAATAGAATCAGCATTTTCTGGACTTCAGTCATACACAAGCCACAGGTAGATGTCTGCATCTTGAGTGAGCTTCTACTCTTTGCTATTGAAAACTGCCAAGTTTTGCATTCACTGCAAGATAAAATTGGACACACATTTTTCACAGAAAAAAAAATATTCTTCTTTAGTCATTATGCAGGAGACATTTGGAGAGAGGGACATAGGAATGGCATTGCAAATGCTGTTGCTGGAACTGGCAGAAAGTCACATCAGTTCATTCTCCCAACTGTCTGCCTTCACATCCTTATGGAGAAAAAACAATCTGTTCATCACAAACCCCAAAGAAACAATAATGCCAAGAGAGCTCTATGCTTCACTCTTGCTTTGACAACTGCAAAGCCTATAGCAGCAGATACTGGGAATTGTAGTCTAAGCCAGGCCAGTAACTCAGCACCACTCATCCGTTCTCTCACTCCCACTCTGGGTGGGATGGGGAGGAGAATCAAAAGAATGCAAAACCCACAGGCTGAGATAAGAACAGTCTAATAACTAAAGTATAATATTAAAGTAATAATAATAATAATGATGATAATGATGAAATAACAAGGGGAGAGAATAGAAAATGAAAAGGGGAAAGATAAAGTACAAGCAACATGTGATGCACAGCTCAATTGCTCGCCACCTGTTGACCAATACCCAACCCAAGCCTAGCAGCGACCTGGGCCTTTTGGGCAACTCCCCCAAGTTTTTATACTGGGCATGATGTGCTGTGCTATGGAATACCCCTTTGGCTAGTTTGGGTCAGGTGTCCTGTCTCTGCTTCCTTCCTGGCTTCCCATGCCCCTCCTCCCTGGAAGAGCAGGAGACTGAAAAGTCCTTGATGGGGTAAGTGCTACTGAGCAACAACTAAGACATCAGTGTGTTATCAGCATTATCAGACTAAAGACAGAACACAGCACTGCACCAGCTACTAGGAAGGAGAAAAATAACTGGTACAGCCGAACCCAGGGCACTGTGCAAAGTGAGTGGGTAAAAGCATGCAGTGAGACACTGTAGAGCCTGTAGTTTTTGGACAGGTGTCAGCTTGGGTTTTTCTACTTTGGATAAAGCTCCAAAGTTCCATGAATTACACTGAAGACTTCCAGCAGTGGTGGTTAATTAACCCCTGGACCTCCATGGGCTGCAGGGGAATCTTTGCTCTGGTGCCTGGGGCACCTCCTCACCTTCCTGCTTCTTCACTGATCTTGGTGTCTGCTGGGCTGTTTCTCTCACACATTCTCACTCCTCTCTCTGTCTGCTCTTGCATATCAGGTTTTACCCTTTCTTAAATAGGTTACTGCAGAAGTGCTACCACTGTCACTGGTGGGGTCGGCCTTGGCCTGGTGGGTCCATCTTCTAGCTGGCTGGCATTGGCTCTGTCTGACATCAAGGCAGCTTCTGGCATCTTCTCACAGAAGCCACCTCTGAAGCCTCCCTTCTACCCAAATCTTGCCATGCAAACCCAATACAAGGTATTTGCTGAAATTTCATTTGGCTGAGGTCTGGCTCAGCCTTTCATAGGCCAAAGAATGGAATGGCCATCGCCTTTCAAGCCACAATGTGCTTTCACCGTATTAAGGAACTTACCTTCTAACTTTCCTAGAGCTGGTGTAGGGTTTTGCTAATAACGGACTCTGGTAATTTCTTGAGGTTACATTTAAAAAAACAAATACCTATAAAACATACTCAGGGTTGTATTTATTCTGAAGTAGTGTAGCACACAGTTGCATTCTAACTAATCAATCCTTCTCTTTTCAATGGAGACAGGCATCACAGAAGCAGCAGAGATCATCTTATTTTGGATGTTGCTGTTTGAGCAGCAGTTGCAGGAATAGCAGGATTCCTATACATAAAAGGTATGTATAGTTTTCCCAATGGAGCTCAACATGCTTCAGGGTTGCTGATCTAATGTTTTGTAGAATGTAAGGAAGTTTCTGACTCTGGGATGTATTGTAAACACAGCAGGAAAAAACAGTGCAACCTAGGCAAGGGCAATAGATCCTAAAGGAGTAATATAGTGGACTTTTTTGCATTTAGACACTGGGCACTGGGTACTGGGAAATGTAGTTTGTATTTACATATTTCTTCTTCAGACAAGGTGTTTCATTTACTATGCTCTATGGAGACTCCCCAGGAATATCAGTCAATCACTCATTCAGGCTGGGGGTTCCGATGCCAAGGTCATGCCCGGGTGTGCGGGAATGTCCAGCCTGTGCAGCCCAAACCATCCTGGCTTGTCCAGGGCTGGAAACACTCTGGGTGCAGCGCAGAGAACTCATTGGAGAATGTGTCTCATTGTGGGATGTGGCAAATCCAGCAGCACTCGCGTCACATGGGGACATTAAAACACAAAAATGCACCAAAAAGGCATTAAGTGCATAACAGGGGATCCCAGACACAGCTCCCACGGCCATGGTACAGCCACCACCCCCTACCCCAGCGCTACAGGGGCTGCACCACCTCCCTCCCTGGTCCTCTCTGCCAGGCCCAGACACTTCCCACAAGCCATGGGGTTCACCTGGGGCATGGTGGGACACACAGCTCACCTGAGGTCCCGCTCATGGCAGGATCCCCCTTTTCCTCCAGAGACCCCTTGGACCATGTGGTACCTGCTGCCACCGCCTCGCACAGCTCCTACCTGGTATTTGTAATGGATGAGCTCCCAGCATTTAGAGCCAGAAGTCCTTGCTGCAACATAAATCCTGGCCTCATGCTCAGGATGGAGTTTGATACCGGTTTTACTCTCTGGCCTGCCCAGGCTGTCATTAGCCTCTCAGCCAGTCCTCACATTGTGTGTCATGATGGCACACGTGCCCGTGACACTGTGCTGGAGCAGTGCAGAGAGCAGGCAAACTGCAACTCACACACACACGCACATGTTACTGAAGAGAAACCCAAAAAGCACTCACCCTGAGGTGGATATATGTTGGGAAGGATTGCTCCAGGACACAGAGCAGAAGGGACTGTTGTCCTCGAGGGATCACAAGCATCTACAGTAACGTCCCATGCGACAGCAATGTCAAAGGACCTGCCAGAACAAAACCAGGTCTGTAGCTGCAAGCATAATTCACCTCCTGCACAGCAACTTCCTCTCTAACTGCTAGAAGACTTTCACATCAGGAGAAGAAATCAGAGCACAAGACAGCCCTGCAATGCATCAACACTTTGTGAGCCATTCTGAGGGGGAAAAAACAAATATTCACCCCATCACACCCACAAGCAACTCACCCAGGATGCGAAGCTGCTCCTGCTCTGCTGGCTGCAGGCTCTGTACCCACAGCAGCAGCACTTCACACACAAACAGCACTTGCAGCTCCACAGGGACATTTCCATTCTCTCCCAGCAGAAGAGGCAGCTTTGGAAGTGTTTTGCTTTCCAGGTGATTCTTTTTCTTTGTCAGGCCAGACAGGACTACCAGAAGACCCCGAGACATGTAACAAAATGTAAATGCCTGATCCAAGCATGAGATCGATGCTTCTGTCCCTGTACAGAATCCACAGAGACTTCCTGGCTTCTTACAGCCACCCATACTGCTGGCCACAAATGGCGAGAGCCTGGTGCTGCCCTGGATGTGGTTGGGATGGGTTTGTGATCTGGGAAACCTGGAGATGTTTCTCCCTTCTTCCCGCAGGTATTATTTGAAAGAGGTCTTTCTGATTTCAGCTGATGTGGACTGATTTGAAGGGCAGTAGCAAATCAAGTAGTAAACGTCCAGTTCATAGTCTGTGCCCATCATTTGCCTAGTTTAAAGAAAAACAGGAAAAAAAGGAGTGAACCCCACACACAAACAGATTTGATGCCACAGACACCAAAGACCGTGGTGTGTAGGGTGACTCTTGACATCCACAAACATTTCTCACCGCTTCCCCTCCCTGTGTGTCACTGGCAAGAAGACTCTTTGAGATACTGTTTCTGCTCCCCCTTCACTGTGAAGGGTGCTGAGGGCCTGGCTGGGAAGGCAGCCCTGGAGATGGCAGTGGAAATATCAGAGCTGCTCGGTTTCAGCTGCAGCAGAGCAGGGCTACCAGGATGCCCAGCAGGTCTTTAAGTTACTGGACTGTAACCCATGGGGTTTACATTCTTTTGACTCTCCTCCCCATCCTGGGCAGCAGAGAAATAGGGAGGAGAAAAAGGGGCTCAGGAAGGGTCCTTGCAACGCAGCCACCCTCAGGACTTACACAGAAGTTCAGAAGCCACCACAGCAGCAACAGCATCCCAAGCCACATGTTCTCACATGGCCTGGCCATGCCTCCAGCCTGCTGGCTCAGCCTCGGTTCCATCGCTGCTCCACTCAAGAGCACTCTCCCCTCACAAGCACTCTCCTCTCACAAGCACTCTCCTAGCACAAGCACTCCCCTCTCACAAGCACTGCACTCAGGAGCACTCCCCACTCACGAGAGCTCCCCACTCACAAGCACTGTGCACTCAATGAGCACTCTGCACTCACAAGCACTCTGCACTCACAAGCACTCTGCACTCACAAGCACTCTCCTCTCATGAGCACTCTCCACTCATGACCACTCTCTTAAAAGCACTCCCCTCTCACGACTGCTCCACGCTCAAGAACGCACTGCACTCAGAAGCACTCTGCACTCATGAGCACTGCACCACTTACGAGCACTGCACCATTCATGAGCACTGCACCATTCATGAGCACTGCCCCACTCATGAGCACTGCACCATTCATGGGCACTGCACCACTCATGGGCACTGCACCACTCATGAGCACTGCACCAGTCATGGGCACTGCACCACTCATGAGCACTGCACCACTCATGGGCACTGCACCACTCATGAGCACTGCACCACTCATGAGCACTGCACCACTCATGGGCACTGCACCATTCATGAGCACTGCACCACTCATGAGCACTGCACCACTCATGAGCACTGCACCATTCATGAGCACTGCACCATTCATGAGCACTGCAGCACTCATGAGCACTGCACCACTCACGAGCACTGCACCACTCACGAGCACTGCACCATACATGAGCACTGCACCATTCATGAGCACTGCACCACTCATGAGCACTGCACCATTCATAAGCACTGCACCACTCACGAGCACTGCACCATTCATGAGCACTGCACCATTCACGAGCACTGCACCATTCATGAGCACTGCACCATTCATGAGCACTGCCCCACTCATGAGCACTGCACCACTCATGGGCACTGCACCACTCATGAGCACTGCACCACTCATGGGCACTGCACCACTCATGAGCACTGCACCACTCATGGGCACTGCACCACTCACGAGCACTGCACCATTCATGAGCACTGCACCACTCATGAGCACTGCAGCACTCATGAGCACTGCACCATTCATAAGCACTGCACCACTCACGAGCACTGCACCATTCACGAGCACTGCACCATTCATGAGCACTGCACCACTCATGAGCACTGCACCATTCATGAGCACTGCACCATTCATGAGCACTGCAGCACTCACGAGCACTCTCCTCTCACAAGCACTGCACCATTCATGAGCACTGCACCACTCACGAGCACTGCACCATTCATGAGCACTGCACCACTCATGAGCACTGCACCACTCACAAGCACTGCATCACTCACGAGCACTCTCCTCTCACGAGCACTGCACCATTCATGAGCACTGCACCATTCATGAGCACTGCACCATTCTTGAGCACTGCACCATTCATAGGCACTGCGCCACTCACGAGCACTGCACCACTCACGAGCACTGCACCACTCATGAGCACTGCACCACTCACGAGCACTGCACCACTCACGAGCACTGCACCATTCATGAGCACTGCACCATTCATGAGCACTGCACCACTCATGAGCACTGCACCATTCATGGGCACTGCACCATTCATGAGCACTGCACCACTCATGAGCACTGCACCACTCACGAGCACTGCACCACTCACGGGCACTGCACCACTCACGAGCACTGCACCATTCATGAGCACTGCACCATTCATGAGCACTGCACCATTCATGAGCACTGCATTACTCACGAGCACTCTCCTCTCACAAGCACTGCACCATTCATGAGCACTGCACCATTCATGAGCACTGCACCACTCACGAGCACTCTCCTCTCACAAGCACTGCACCATTCATGAGCACTGCACCACTCACGAGCACTGCACCACTCATGAGCACTGCACTACTCATGAGCACTGCACCATTCATGAGCACTGCACCACTCATGAGCACTGCACCACTCATGAGCACTGCACCATTCATGAGCACTGCACCACTCACGAGCACTGCACCACTCACGAGCACTGCACCATTCATGAGCACTGCACCATTCACGAGCACTGCACCATTCACGAGCACTGCACCATTCATGAGCACTGCACCATTCATTGGCACTGCACCTCTCACGAGCAGTGCACCATTCATGAGCACTGCAGCACTCACGAGCACTGCACCATTCACGAGCACTGCACCATTCACGAGCACTGCACCATTCAGGAGCACTGCACCACTCATGAGCACTGCACCATTCATGAGCACTGCACCATTCATGAGCACTGCACCACTCATGAGCACTGCACCACTCATGAGCACTGCACCACTCATGAGCACTGCACCACTCATAGGCACTGCACCACTCATGAGCACTGCACCACTCATGAGCACTGCACCATTCACGAGCACTGCACCATTCATGAGCACTGCACCACTCATGAGCACTGCACCATTCATGAGCACTGCACCATTCATGAGCACTGCACCACTCATGAGCACTCTCCCCTCACAAGCACTGCACCATTCATGAGCACTGCACCACTCATGAGCACTGCACCATTCATGAGCACTGCACCACTCACGAGCACTGCACCATTCATGAGCACTGCACCACTCATTAGCACTGCACCATTCATGAGCACTGCACCACTCACGAGCACTGCACCATTCATGAGCACTGCACCATTCATGAGCACTGCACCACTCACGAGCACTCTCCTCTCACAAGCACTGCACCATTCATGAGCACTGCACCATTCATGAGCACTGCACCACTCACGAGCACTCTCCTCTCACAAGCACTGCACCATTCACGAGCACTGCACCATTCACGAGCACTGCACCATTCATGAGCACTGCACCACTCA